AAATAAATAATAGGAAAAACGTTCAGCCGTGTTCCGCGAACGAATGTTTCTGGAGCGAGGATCGACGCGGCGGCTGGTCGGTGACGGCCGACACCGGGGATCGAGGGGATCGATGGATCGGCCGCGACCCGGCCGCGCGTCGTTCGCTTCTTCTTCGGACAACGGGGCGAAACGAAACGAAACATGCTTGCGTCCGTGTTTCATCGTTTTCTTTCTATCCGTGCTTTTTTCCGCCGTTTCCTTTTTTCTCTCACGGGCTCAACGCAACAATACTAATAGTACGGTAATTCTAACAGTCGGATTAACAATACGGTGATACTTTAAAATATCTTTCGACTTTTTGTCCTTATGCAAAATACGTTCAGCGTAGAAAAACTTCGCTACAAGATCCCTATATAAAAATTAGTGGTTTCTCCGAGGAAGTCGGTCAGTGTTGCTTCTTTCTTCTTCTTTCTCGTCTAGGAGCGCGTTCGCGCGTAAAAATACATACGCGTTGGAATCGCGGATACGTAAAGGTTTCCGAGAGCAGATAGGGAGGGAGAGAGAGAGAGAGAGAGACGGAGAGAAAGAAAGAAAGAGAGAGAGAGAGAGAGAGAGAGAGAGAGAGTGACGAAGGAGAAGACGTAGATAGGGAACGAGGTGTGCGAGGATGACGGAATAAAACGATGTTCGGGGTAGGGGAAAGTGAGAAAGAGAGAAAGAGAGAGAGAGAGAGATTACCGTCTCTGGGAAGGAAAATTTGTCGAATTTCCTTCTTCGTTCGATCAAGTGATCCTTCTTCTCGTGCATCGCGAATGCCATCGTCGATGAGATATTTCCCTGGTCGATCCCCGCGCTAACTATACAGATCAGACACACAGCTTGAGCAATCTAACATTGAGCAGTCGTGTGAGGAAACATTTGTCTTTTGGACAGAGCTAAGAGGCAGTTTCGTACGCGAACGAACGCGGGAGTAGAGAGGTCGGTGAGACGGAGGAAGAGGGGCAAATAAAAGAGAAAAAAAGAAAAAAAAAAAAAAGAAAAATAAAATTTGGGAGAATAGAGGAGACAAAGGAAGCGTGCGATTAATGACAGAATGGTACGTGATGGTCGAAGGTATAACCGGAAGGAAGGTCGCGGTCGAAAATTCGCCCGTCTGTCGGACGCGTTGTCTATATCCTAAATCCTAAACGTAAATGTCGTAAGAAAATCTTAGGTTACTCGTGTTACGTCTATGACTAATCGTACGTAGATTGCAGTGTTAAGAGTAAAAAGAAAGGATACGGAATAGGAACAAGAGGACAGTCCTCGGCGTGTATCGTTACTTAAATTACGCTGCTGCGTTCTCCGCAAGGCAAAATGACGCGTTATCGCTAATCGAACCCGAAAAAAATAAGAGAGAGAGAAAAAAAGGAAAAATCAACGCGGAAAAAAATAACAGATACGAAGAACGTTAATCGGAACGTTTAATCGTTAGGACGAACGTAAACAGCGTTGAGAGAGTGTGGGAGGAAGATAGAGAGAAGAGAGAGTGAGAGAGAAACGGGTGAATATGGTGGAAAAGGAAAACACCACGCGTGAAATGGAACGCGGACTCGTCTCGAGAATGGCCAACGATTCGACGTGTGTTCGTTGGTGGAAAAAGTTGCCGCGACTGAACGCGCGCGTGATAAAAATGGCTGACGCCGAGAAGAAATCGAGGAACGAATTTCTTTCTTCTTTTCTTTTCCGTTTCGTCGTCGGTTCGAATCGTTTCGACAGAGAAGCGACGGCGTTCGACGAGTTTCCACGAATTTCAACGAATTTTCGAGGAATTTCGACGATGAGTCTCGCGTGGATCGGTTGCCAAAGGTCCGCTCGATCCTCCGCGTCGGAGCGGCATGGCGGACCTAGCCATGGCGGATCGATAAGTGCGCATCGATCGATACGATGCAGGCCAGAGACGAGGTTCGTTCACGCTCGTCGCGAATATCCCTGTGTCGCTGCGATCGCCGGTATCGATCTCGCGCGGTTGCTCGCCAGGGCGAGCCACGGGGACGCGCTCGTCGATCGCGGACATCGATTTATCCTAGTTTCTTCTTTGAACACATACACGCAGACGCAGACGCACGATCGCAGTCATTCTCGTAATCTTGACGCGTACCTCTTTAATACCAGATTCTTCGTCCTTAATATACATAATATATATTTATATATTACACGGTCTCAAAACTATATAGGCCTAAGAAACTTCTTCTGTTTAGAGCCACGAGCCACTTTTGTATGATATAGAGAGAACTCGTCACTTCGTAGGAAACATTTCTGGTTAATCTTACAACGCCGTATGCACAGGCCGACGCCGGGGCTGCGCGAGCGCACACGGTCTAAGCGTTAACTGTTTATCCGAGTTACACTAAATACTTTAGAATACGAGCGAGGCTTCACATTGTTTATAATACAACGATGAAACCACGCGGCCGACCGGCCACCATTTTGTCCAGCTCGAGCCGCGTGGCCCGTTCTTCTCTCGGCACGAGTCGAACGTAGAAGAATAGGGCTGTGACACGTGTCCCACGAGTTCCCCAGCCGAGGGGGAACCGACCCGGGTCGCCTGGACGAGGCTACGAGAGCTCGCCGAGTAGAGAACAGCCGAGCTGATCCCGACGACCGCCGTTAAGGCCTCGTCCGTTCTCGCCGCTGCTTTTCATTGGCCAATCGCGCGCGAGTAGAGCCGACATGTTGGCACTTGGGGACTCGACGAGAAAGGGACGAGGGTAGAACGGACGGCTCGTCATCGCGACGCAACGAGTAATCCGAGGAAAGACGCGAGTCGAGGAGAGTTCTGATCGGCGGAAGATCTCCGTTTCGATCTCGATCGCGGTATCGTCCGCGAGCGGACGCTTTGCCGCGTGTTTGTACGATTCTCGTTGCTCCGACCTGTATCGCTCGCGTGCGGTGCGGGTATAATGCGCGAAGCGAATAGAGTAGGTACTTGGTATTAGGTCACTGGTGCTCGAATCTCGTTACAGTTGTTAGCTTCTGGCCGGCGAGTGTGTAGCGGTGTTTCGGTCGCGGAGGCAGAAAGACCCCGTTCCGCCAAGGTGGCCGAGTGAAAACGATGTGCGCGCCTTCAGCGTCGATCGATCGATCGAATTCCAGTTTCCTTTTCTTCGTACCCCGCGTTTCCCCCGTGACCGATTGCTCCCGCGGAAACGGAATTCGTTCTACGCGATGCAGCTTCCTTCTGCTTCCGCTCTCGTGCGCTACCCGGGAACACCTCTCTTTCGAATTTGCAGCTGCGCGCGAAGGACGCGAGAAAGGAACAAAGTACGAGCGATGTAGTAAGTATAGTCTCGAGGATTACAAACGGAGACGCGACGCGTCTCTTGTGTGGATGCACGATGAACGAGAAACGAAAAAAAAAAAAAAAAAAAAAAAAAAAAAAAAAAGAAAAATAAAAAGGGGACACAACCATTGCGGAGATGAGAAAGTATGCGTATATGTACGTACGTGTATATGGAACTTCTACCATTTCGATTCGATAACGTTAAACTTACTCAGCGAATACGGATGTAATAAATGGGATTAGCTAATCAGTCTTATGTTAGAGGCTCGTTAACGTCTAGATTGAACTGCGTGTCGCGTCGCTCGCGGTGGATTCTTTCCTCTGGTTCGCTCCACGTTAGCTCTACCGGACTGCTTCTCCGCGATGCACACGGATCGAGAGCATTTTTCGTTCGTCGATACACCTCGACTCTCGCATCTCGAGCTAAACAGTCTACGTTCTCTCGTCTGACTCGGAAGCACGACGGAGCGCGCGCGCCTCCGAACCGTTCGTCCGATTTCTTTTTCCCTTAACCTTGATGGCCCGAGAAACTCTTCGTCCGTTAATGGCCGTTTTTCGACACGCTCGCGTTAGCACCAATCGAGAGAGAACGGCGGGTCGCGGATGCAATCGCCGCGAGCGATTCTTCTATTGCACGATTTCGAGGATTCCTGTCTGAGAATCGCGATTTCCCTCGAACGAATGAATCGAGCCACGAAAACTGGACGAGGTTTCTCGCGCGGTCATCCCGAGGAAATCGCAGAGAATGAATATACGAGGTGAGACGCGCGTGTGTGTGGGGGGTGGGGGTTATCTTGAATCGTCTTGGATCGACTTGGATCGTCTTTGGATATGCGAGAAACGAGAACGAGGATAGATGGCGAATGGAGAGGTTCGCGTTTGAGAAGCTCGGCCCCGTGCGTAAGTGCCAATGACGATCCGTGATTCGATACTTCTCGCAACGGGCCGATCTGTCTCCTCGTATATTCCCTCTCCGACCGTCGTCGAACTACCTAACCTACGATAATAATGGCATTCGAAAAAGCCTAGAGTTGTGCAAAATGGCAATTAAACGCGTCCATTCGCGTCTATTCTTTGTAAAATATAAAACCGCCGTATCCGATCGGCTGGCTCGCCTAATTGCCACTTTGATTCGTAAACGCGGTCAACGAAAGGAAGCCAATGTTCTCTTCACCGTACGATGAGTTCGAACGAAGAAAAGCGCATTAACGGAATATATATATACATACAGGCGCGCGTGTGTGTGTCTGTGTCTGTCTGTATGTATATATATGCGCGAATCGTTAACCTGAATCTTCGACGCGATCCCGCGTTTAGCCGTATTTCGGCCATACGCGTCAGGCCGGTAGAGGTTACGCTCGTTTCGTTTCTGTCGCTTTTCTCCGTTTCATCGGAAAACATTGTCGATCTCTTACTTTCGGCGTGAAAAGGCAGTGTCTGCTGTAACAAGCGGATGCGCGAGGATAAAAGAAAAAGAGAGAGAGAGAGAGAGAGAGAGAGAGAAAAAAAAGAGTCGATGTACCTTACGAACGTAATATAGGAGATATATACTTAGAGAGACGAAATCGAGGGACGTTCACGTTTCTACGAAAATAATTCGTCAACGTCGAGGAGGACGCGCGTTCGATCGCGTCCAGAGACTTAAAATACGACTTACGATTTGGAACCTTTCGTTTCGACTGCGTCAATGGCGCGCTATCCTAGTGCGTGAAGAACGCACGAGTCACGGGGTTATTGGAACGTTTGATCGCGAGTCCGGCGAAACTCGCCTAATTGTTTCACAGACACTGCCCCTTGCGAACGTTCGTTCGGTTGCAAAATAGGTCTGTGTCACATCAGCCGGAATAATATCTCCCTGGTGGACCGCTCGTTGCCGTGATAAAGCGTTCGCAGGCGCCACGTTCAAAGACTGACTCCACCAGTCCATGCACGCCATCTTGGATCGCTGCGAGTGGATCCAAACGCACCCGTGTCGTCGTGACGACCTAGCAACGACGAGTACCGGGTGCGACCGCGTTAACACTACGTGGTCGTGCTGCCGATGTAACCGTTGTTCAAGGTTTCCGGCTTGTTCACGTACTCCACTGGCGACAGCGTTTCCTTCTTCTCCATACCGTTGTCGATATCGATGGCGTCTATGGACGGGAAGTCGACCCGCAGCGGTACCGTTTCCCGCTTCTCGGCAACCGCCAGGATCTCCGGACTACCGTTCTCGTAGTCCGGATTCGCCAGCTTGGACGAGTTCGGACTGCTGAGGAAACTGCGTTTACTGGGGTTCTTCGGACTTCCTGACTTGTTGCTGATCGACAGCTGACTCAGGTTGCTTCTAGAGGCGCTTTTCGCGTTTATGAAGGGCGAACTCTTCACGGACTTCAAACTGTCCTCGACGAACGGTAGGTTCAACGCGTCCTTGCCAGAGGCGACCGAGTCGGCGGAAACGCCGTCGAAATCGTCGAATCCGGCCTTCAACGGCACGTTCGAGGAGTTCATGTCGTGACAGTTTGAGGTCGCCTTGGAGTTCTCGCCGTAAGAGTCCATCCTGTAACGGGGACTGAAACTGTTTTTAATACTGCTAGGCTCGAAACTAGGCGCAAAGTCGCCGAAATCCTGCCGTAACGGGGAATCTTCTTCACCCTCTGCTTCCTCCTCTTGCAGATCTTGCAAGGAGGACAATTCCAGGTGCCTGCGCGCGAATCGAATCGTTGCGTTAGAAACTAGCATTAGCCGTGTCGTTACCCTGACGTCGGAAAAGATATGCTATGCTCACTTGTCAATCTGCGGCGAGTTGGACCTATTTTGATTCCTGGCTTCTACACCCTCCAGACTGTGATAAAAACTCACGTCCTGGAAACTCTCCGAATCGATGTGCTTCAACAACATGGTCGCGATGTCCATAAACGTAGGTCTCCTCGTTGCTTTGTGCCTCCAGGTACGCTTCATCAGTTCGTACAACAACTCTGGGCAATTTTCTGGTCGTTCCATAACTCCTCCGTCGATCACGTACCGTAATACCTGCGGGAATAGGGGTAAGACAAGATCGCTGCAATTTGCCACGAGGATCTCGGCGAAGAAAGTACGCGTACCTGCTCGTTCGATAGACCCTGATAAGGCTGCGATGCGAAGGTCACCATTTCCCACAACACCACTCCATAGCTCCAAACGTCGGAATAGCTGCTGAACACGCCGTCCTTCAGGCTCTCCGGAGCCATCCACCTGACAGGTAACAGGCCCTTGCTACCCTTCCGATAATAGTCCCTCTCGTAGATGTCCCTGGTCATTCCGAAATCTCCCACTTTCACGGTTAAATCTTCCGCGACCATGCAATTCCTAGCAGCCAGGTCTCTATGAACAAACTTCTTGGTCGAGAGATACGCCATCCCGTCAGCGATTTCGATCGCCATCTGAAGTATCCGGTCCAACTTTGGCGACACGTTGGTCAGGCTCTCGCAAGTGTCGGGTCTGTGGCTTCTCAGGTACCGCTTCAGATCTCCATTTACCATCAATTCCATGATAACCAAGGTGGGTTGACCACGAGTCACCACGCCGAGGAGCTTGACCACGTGGTGAGCGTCGAAACCCCTGCGAGAAGAAGTTTCGGATAATCCGTAGAACGCGCGCAACATTCCACCACGCAATTACTCGATCGATAGATTTTGTTCTTACTTCATCACGGATGCCTCGTTGAGGAACTCGATTCGTTCCCGGTCAGTGGCGTCCTTGTTCACCGTTTTCACCGCGCATCGTACTTCCGGCTTGCCCTTCACGATGTCCTTGGCTATTCCTTCGTACACCATGCCGAATGTACCGGTTCCCAGCGACCTGAGCATTTCGATCTTCTCCCTGGGCACCTCCCACTCGTCCAGTACGTACGGCGTGCTCACGTACTCCGGGTTCACGGTAGCGATCAGCGTAGACACGTTCGGCGCGTTCCTCAGTAACTTCCGTTTGCAGACGTAGAACGAGATCAAGCTGGCGATCGCGATGAATACGCAAAACAGCAACCAGAACACTACCCAAAAGGTGATGATCGTGTACCGTTCCTCGATGTAGAAGTACTTGACGTTCGTATAGGCACCGTATCCAGCTAGACTGGTCGCTCGGACTTTGACGGAGTAGTTACCAGCGGGGAGCTCTTTGAGAACGTACCTGTTGCCCGCCTGCGCGAAATCCAGCCTCGTGGTGCACACCACGGTCGGTTTATACTGAAAACAGAGTGATCCCTCGTTCACGCGACGCGAGTTGATCGCTGCTGAAAATTCGTCAACGCGATTTCACTCACGTTCTGTATGTCGACCCTCTTGTACTCGATCTGGTAGGTGATGATCAGACCGTTGGGTTCCGATGGCTCGTCCCACTGGAGCGTGACCATGGTGAGGCTGTTGTTCTCGCCGGATATGCTTATCTTGAAGCTGTTCGGAGGAATGTTGTCCGCGCTTTCCAGTCGCAACGTTCGGAACGTCCTCATACTCTTGGTGGAGCAGTTCTTGTACGTGTCGTTCATCTCTGTCGCCCTGCACGCCTGTACCTCGATGTTATACGCCGCGAAGTGGTGCAGGTTCTTCATCACGAAGGAGAGGTTCGTGCTGGGTACCATCTGCTCGAACGCCGTGTACACTCCGTTCTCGATCTTCTCCATAGGCTGTGCGTACACGAGAAAGCGACGATAGTCGAAGAGAGCGAAGCTTAAACGAACTTACGAAAAGATTTCGAGCGCCGCTTTGTTACCTGATCTCGGTCCGCTGCCTTGGTCTTCCTGGACGAGCCGAACGACATGTCCGAGACGTCGCGTTTTCTCCTCGGTTTCCGCTTCACGTACACCTGGTTGTGCAAAGCGTCCTCGAAAGCGATCGCGCTGGATGCTTCCTTCTCTCGCAGGGACTGGTCCGTTTCCCGATCAGCGCAATCGCAAGTCCCGGTCTCGGGCATCATCTGCTCCTTCTCCTCTTCGATCCGCTTCCTCTCCTCCTCCGCGATCGAGATGGCTTTCTTGTCCGGCAGCAGCATGGCTGATAGGTACACGCGTGTCGTTTGAAAGTCTCGACGAGACAGGGGTGATGGAAAGAAAGAAGAGATCGGTCTACTTACGTTCCTCGCAGTAGTTCCTCTGATCGATGAAGTTGGCGTCATCCCGCTCCCATCGGCCATAGATCCGATAGTACGTGAGGTTTCCGTTCTTGTGAAGAGGAGGCAGCCAGGACATGATCAGCTCGCTGCTCGAGTTACTTCGAGTGGTAAGAGACCTGGGCGCGCTGGGTGCTTCCGGCATCGTTCTGAAGTACGTTAAATTGCTCTGCGCGCCGGACCTCTCCGTCGCAATCGTGTAAGTCTTCACGTAATAAGCGTACTGCGTGTAGGGCTTCAGCTGAGACAAGTAGTGCGTGTGCACGTTCTTCTCCTGTCGGCCGGTCCCGAACTTGCCGCCGCTCTCCACCTGGGTGGTGTTGGTGCTCGCGGAGACGTCGTCCACCTTCCAGCCGTCGCCACCGCAGGCGTCTCTGCCGTCGTACATCGTCACGTTCTTGTTCGGTGCCTCGATGAAGTACACCACGTAGCCTAGGAGAGACCTCGCGTCGTGATGGACGAACGGCTCCCATTCGATCACCGCGCCCCACGGAGACTTCTTGCCCACCCTGGTCTTCAGCTCGGTCACGTTACAGGCGACCTTGTCGCCGTTGCTGTTCGGCGCCACCTCGTAGTCCGTGAACGGTCCCAAGCCAGCCTTCTTTCGCAGCATCTCGATTTTGTAGAGGCACAGCTTCGGGTTCAGATGGAAGAAGATCTTCCCAGGTCCGTCCCTTGACTGGATCTTGATGTCCTTGTGCAAGCTCCAGTCCCAGAGCTCCTGCAGGTTCTGGTTATCCATCACCAGCAGAGAGTACTTGGAGTTGTCGATGTCGTTGCCACGGATGATGCGCAGGTTCTTGAGGAAGTTGAGAGAGATCAGCGGGAAGCTGCGCACGATCTTCAGGTAGCCGTCGATCTCCTCTATGGCACTCAGGCTGTCCTCCAGCTCCTTCACGATGTTCTTGCCGCCTCGTATCTGAATCTCCAGGCTACCCGTGATGTGCGTGCATCCGCGGAGTTTCTGAGCCGAGGCGATGCTGTCCACGTTCGTCCCGGCGCATTCCTTCTGACATCGTCCCTCGCACTTCTTGCACGAGATCTTGCCGTTCGATTCCTCGTCCATGTAACCTGGCGGGCACTCCATTATGCAGCTCCCGTTGAATGGCTTGTGCGGATAGTTGGACACGTAGAACACCTCTCGCGGCTTCTCCATCCGCAGGCACCTCTCCTCGTCGATGCATCGATGGTTCATGAACTCCAAGGTGCCGTTCGGACATCGCTCTCTGCACTCGAAGCCGTCCGTTGCCAGGTCCTTGCACACCGCGCAGTCACGGTTAGTCGGCCCGGTGCAGGTCCCCAGGCACGACGGATGGCAGCATCTCTCCAGTTCCGATTCGTAGCAGGCGTTGTTCTCGCACTTTCGGTCGCAGACTGAAAGAAGAAAATCAGGTGACGGATAAGACACAGGGAGTTCGTCGAAAACCACGGGGTACCGATTTAACCTTCGGATCAGAAGTCGCGAGTCATCGCGAATTTTTGATATCGACAAAGACCGAACAAAATGGCGCGCGACGCCGGGATTTCAGGGGTGCACGTGTAGGAAAACGATCGGGTGGCTGCTGTGTTCCGGGTAAACAGCTTCGCGCGTGTCGCCTCGCCGTCGTGACGTAGTCCCGTCACGTTCCTCGCGAGGACCCCTGGCGACTTTCCCTTCGACTTTTACTGTAATTTGTGCGGAAGGGGGCGCTTGCTCGGTAACGAACGCGTCGCGATCGATAGCCACCGTAAACGCAATCGAGTTGTCCAATAAAGATCTCGAACCCGCGGGAACCAAACGTGTCCGAACCCTTCGGTCAGACCGAAGCTAGAGACTTTCGAACGACTCTCTGAGCCGAACGATTACCCGCGTTCTTTCGAAAGTTCAAGCGACTCGCGGTCGCTAGCACGGCGACATTTAACGCACTCCCGTCAGTTTTTGCCCGCGCAAAGGTCCGTTGGGTGTAATTTAGAGTCGTAGCGCCCACGGGTGAGCCGCCTACGGTGGCCGGCGTGTCGCGCCGCCGCCAATTTCTCGCCGCCCCTTTCCTCCTCGCCACCAGACAGACTCCATTTTCCGCAAGGCCAACGAATAATCGGATAATTTCGGAAGGAAGGAACGATCGAGAGCTGGTCGCCGCGCGTGGGAGCCGCGGCCGCCCAAGATAGCCAGCGCGTGTCCTTTTATCTTCGCGTCGAACGACCGGGTCCCACCGAGAGATCCGCAATTTCCCCTGCGACGTCAGCGAGCCTCGCGTTGGACATCGGCCGACGTCGTTCCGGGAAATTCGCAACTTTGTCACAGGCGGAACGCGAGAACCGACGAGCTCCCGGAGTGGACAATAACAACGGGGGTGCGTGGTTCGTTCGACGTTAAACCGGTTTTCGCGTAAAGAATAGGTAAAATCGTGCTTTGACCTACAACCACGTGTGAGGCTCGTGGTCAGGCTTTTGGGTCGAAACTGATTATCACGAGCCTGGCACGTGGTACATCGGTCGGGTCGAAACTGACTATCACGGGCCTGGTACGTGGTACGTCGGCCGGGCCAAAGGTAGACACCACGTGTCACGCCCATGACATGTCGATGTGCCCCACTTCAAAGATACATCGATAATATATTTTCATAAATATATTAGAAAAGTGGGTACAACTTAAGACAGATTTGCCGAGCCGCGGAATGGCTCGAAGGCTCGACAGTTCTGTTTACGTTTTGGGCCACGCTGTTGAATGTTAAATCGTAGGACAAAGAGTTAAACGAGAGTTACTTCGTTGGCAGTGTTGCTGGTTCCAGCACAGGTATTCGTCCGATTTGGTCGACCTCTGCGGGCAGCGCTTCTCGCACACCGGGCATCCGTTCTTCCGATTATTCGCCTGTGAACAGAAAACGAGCGAGATCAAGACTAAAATCAAACTGGATTATTAAGGTTAAACTTAAGATCATAATTCGATCCTCGTTTGCCCCGATGATCTTGACACAGGGGTGTCGTACGACGCGGACGTACGAACGCGAAGCGATTGCTGGCACACGTGTGTTCGTTAGGGGTGGCCACCAACGCGTGGTAGTGGAGCGACGAAAATGGCGAACAAAGGGGCGAGTTTACCTCGTTGTTAGGTGCACGCCGGCCAAGAGAATTCCTCAACTTCCGCGGAGGCTGTAGAGCGCAAGAGGTCGGATCGATACGTCTGGCGCCTTCTATTATTTATTTTTATCGCCGTCCTACTATTTTCCGGCCTTACCGAAACTTTTATTTTCATACACCTCTGGAAACGCGATACGCCTGTACGTGCGTGGCTTTTGTTCCAGCGTTGCGCCGGGCTTCGTCCTCTGAGCTCGAAATCTCCCGATGAAACGCGTTTCTCGCGTTCCTTTGCCGACGCGAACGTTCATCGGCCACGAAGTTCTTTATATTTTCATATTTCTTCCTTTTTCCCCGCTTGCCTCGTCGATCTCACCGGCACCCCGTTACGTAGTTTACACCGCTGTAAAATACCTAGCGCGCGCGGGCGCTAGCTTCCGGTCCTCGCGCCGCGAGCGTAATCCCGCGACAAAGCAACAGAGGAAACGAGCGAAATTTTCGAACAGGAAAAAAAAAAGGGAAAAACGTGGATACAGTCGAAACAATATTTCGCGCGGTGTTCCAGTCGTATCGGAATAGTTCCGGCGCTAAAGCGGAAGTCGAGGAACGGCTGACTAAATTGTGGAAAATGGTCAATGGACGTTGAACGATAGCGAAACGCGTGGCTGATCTAGCCAATTTGTGTTTCCTCTTTTATCCTCGAGGTTGTATCAAAATTCTCCTCTCGTCTCTCCTTTTTTCCGTGTATTTTAACGCCCATCCTATCAACCGGAAACGCATCTGCGTCCGAGAGGAGGAAGACGATACGACGAAGACGAACGACGTCGTTGTTAAATGAAATACAGGAAGAGCGGAATTGGAACGGTAAAAAATTGCGAAAATCCGAATTCGTCAGTGGAAATATTTGCCCCGGCGATCGAACAATGCGACGAACGCTGCCCTCGAGGATCTCGCCTGGCTGAAAGCTCTAAACTTGGCGACGAACCCTCGACCCTCGACCCTCGACACGCTCGAATTTTTTAGCGCGCCAGCCGGAAACTAATTAACCCTCTGACCCGGTCACGTTCCATCGATCACCCTCGCGACCCGTTCCCGCGACAAGCCAGCGTGTCCTATCGGCCGCACTCGAGAAATCAGATATTTATCGGAATTCTCTGGGGTTACGAAGATCAACAAAACAAACTCGCGGCGTAGTATGCTTTTCGCGCAGTGAATGAACCACGCCATTCGACCGACCGTTTATTCGCCATCTGCACCCCTCATGCCCACTGATAACGGGGATTTTTGCGACGAGGAAAGCAATATTTGAGAGACGATGAAATAAAAATTAAATTTTTCATCTAGAGAGTGTGTGTTCGAGAGAAACGATTTGTATCGTTGTTGAACGAATCGGGTGATAAGATTGGGGCGAAATTTAAGGGTAAATAATATTGGAACCTCTGTGTGAAATTTGTGAAAACGCAGAAATTTTTGTGGGATTTTAGCGCGAACGAAAGAGACGTATAATGGGTAACTGAAATTAATTCTCTTTTTAATGTACACACGTTGATAATTAAATTTCCACGCGAGGGTTTAACCGTTTCAGTGCCACAGGCTTTTGTGGAAATTCGAGTGAAAAGTGCCACGCAACGCCATCACGCTTCTTTCGTGTCACGTCGAAACAGTTATAGAGGAATGTATGCACGTTTATAAACTTTTGTAGCATATTAATTCGTTTTACTACCACGTCGGGAGACTTCATGCCGCAACGAGACCGAGTATGCTGACTAATTAGCTGGTTCTCTTTAGATGCTTTTCGTAATGTAGTTGAATATTTTACATATTGTACGTAGACTAAGGAAGAATAAAGAAGTGAGACAGTAAACGCCTAATTTTTTATTGTTTCGAGTATCGATTGTCGTGCAAATATCTCGTCGAGTCAAAGAAAAGGATTTTCTTCGTAATTCATGGTTTCCATGGTTTGCATATAAAACAGACCTATTTCAAATTCTCGCACAGTGGCGTGATTGAATAATATGAGGTAGATAATTAGTCCCAAAATTGCGAACAACTCGATGAATCTAATAAAGAAATTCTCATTCTTCGTGAGTCCCGTATTTCGTACGTCGAAAAGGAGCTAATTAACTCATTTCGAATTTTCCTACAGCGGTGTAATCGAACAACGCGTGATAGACAGATAGATAATTGGTCCCAAAATCATAGACAATTCGTCCAGTCAATGGAAGAGATTCTCTCCCTTCATGGATCTCATATTTCGCAACCATTCTTCGGAAAACGACTGCCTCTATATCGAATTCTCCCACAGTGGCGTAATCCAACGACGCGAAACATAATTGATCCCAAAATTATAGACGACTCGTCGAACAAAAGAAAGGAGATTCTCCCTCTTCGTGGATCTCATATTTCACATCCATTTTTCGGAAAACGACTGCCTCCATATTGAATCCTCCCACAGTGGTGTAATATACCGACACGTGATAGATAATTGGTTCCAAAATCATAGATATCTCGTCGAATCAAAGAAAGAGATTCTTCCTCTTCATGGATCTCATATTTCGCACCCATTCTTCGTAAAACGACTGACCCTATATCGAATCCTCCCACAGTGGCGTGATCTAACGACACGAGACACAATTGGTCCCAAAATTATAGACAACGCGTCGAGTCAAAGAAAGAAGATTCTCTCTCTTCGTGGATCCCATATTTCACAGACATTCTTCGTAAAACGACTGCCTCCACATCGAATCCTTCTACAGTGGCGTGACCAAACGACGCGAGACAGATAATTGTTTCCAAAATCGCGAACTCGCCCCAAGTGAAAGAGAGAAAAAGATGCGAGAGACGGATTTATCTCGCGGAAGCGACTCGCACGCGACTCGTAATATACGACGCGTGAGCGTCGGGGAAATCAATAAAGAACCCCGATGCACACGCTTGGCCGCGGCCGAAACGGCGCGATGCGTTGCATTTCCATTAGCGAACAATGAAAATTTAAATAAAAGTTGCCGATTAAAAAGGGTCGTCGTCCACTCGGGCCGGCCGGTCGTCGGCCCGCCCTTTTTATTAAATCCACTCGCCACCCACCCCTCGGCACCCTCCTCTTTCCGGCACCCGTTGCACGCCGGAGGAATAATTCAGAACGTATCGCGTGGCAATTAGCGTCGGATTTTCCGCATCTCCTGATCCGCGTGCACGCCCTCCTCAATACTCTTCTCGCGCGTGCTCATCGACGCGCGGCACGCCTTCGCGATCGGCGAATCGAAATTTCCCAACCAAGCCAAAGTAGAGCGGCGTGTATTCCATTAACTCCTCCAGGCTCGGGGTTTTCCGATGACGAAACGCAGCTCGGTTCCGCGAATC